GATCGGACATTGTTTCGTTCTGCTGTGCATGGGGTCGCTATGAGTCGGTTCCGACTCGATGGCACCTGACAACAACAACAACAAAAAATAACACAAACCAGAGGGACCCTGATCTCATTTGTCAGTTTGCCTTACTGTGGTGGGTTCATGTTTTTGTGATGCTAGAAGCTATGTCACTGGTATTCTAAACACCAGCAGGGTCACCCATGGTTGACAGCTTTCATCTGAGTTTCTAGATTAAAACAAACTATGAAGAAGAAGAGGTGGATTATTTTGTAATATATAGCCACCAAAAGACTTATGAATAGCATAACGTTTTCACATATATGCCAGAAGATTAGCCTCTCAATTTGGAAGTTATACAAAATATGACTGGAGAAGAGCTGCCTCCTCAAAGTAGAGTTGACCCAAATGACACAAATATAGTAAAACTTTCAGGAACTCCACTTGCTGGTGGGGTACAACCCAAAATGACGAAAGACAGCTGAAAACATCCACTAAAAACCTGGAACATGCAATGCACAAAATGTAAATCTAGGAAAACAGGAAGATGTCAAAATTAGATGGAACACATGGATATTGATATCATAGGCATTATGGAGCAGAAATGCACTAGTTTGGGCCAATTTGAATCTGAAAATCATACGATATACTATGTTGAGAATGAAAAATTCAGGAGGAATAGCACAGCATTCATCATCAAAAAGAACAATAACAACAAAAAAATGAAAATGATATTTTTCTAGTTTTTTTCTAAACACTTAAACATTTCATTTCTATATAATTTTTATACTATTGAAATTTATTTTTACATATAAAATAAGATAGAGAATAAATTTCATTTTCATGACATATCTTCTAAATATATAACCACTGTGTCATTGCCATCTATTGAATGGACATTCCTTTGCACACTATTACACACAATGTCTACCTGACCAATGGACTGGGAGAAATTAACCCATTCCAGAGGTAACCCAATGGAATGCAGAAATCATTGAATAATATCATTAATACACATGCAAGTAAAATTTTGCTGAAGATAATTTTTAAATGACTGCAGCAGTACAGCAACAGAAAACTGCCAGAAATTCAAGCCAGATTCAAAAGAGAATGTAGAACAAGGGCTATCATTACAGATGTCGAATTGATCTTGGCTCAAAGCAGAGAATTCCAGAAAGATGCTTACTTGTGCTTTATTGACTATGAAAGGCTTCCAGCTGTGTGAATCATGACATTCTGTGGATAACATTGCAAGCAATGGGTGTTCCCAAACACTTAACTGGGCTCATGAGGAACCTGTTCATAGACAAAAAGGCAGTTGTTGGAAGAGAACAAGGGAATACTAAATGGTTTTAAATCAGGAAAACTGTATACCAGTGTTATATTCTTTCACCATACTTATTCAAACTGTATGCTGTGCAAATAATCTTAGAAGCTGGATTATATGAAGAAGAATGTAACGTTAGGATTAGAGAAAGACTCATTACAAATCTGTAATATGCACATGATACAAATTTGCTTGCTGGAAGTAAAAATGACATAAAAACACTTACTGATTAAGATCGAAGACCACAACCTACGTATAGATTGCACCTCAATGTAAAGAAAACAAAAATCCTCACAAATGAACCAATAAATATAATAATGATAACAGAGGGAAAAAATGAGGTTCCCAAAGATTTCATTTTGTTTGGAATCCACCATCAACACTCATGGAAGCAGCAGTCAAAAAATCAAGCAATATATTGCACTGGGCCAATCTGCTGCACAATACCTCTTTAAGGTGTTCAGGACCAAAAATATCAGCTTGAGGACTAAAGAGCACCTGATCCAAGCCATGGTATTTTCAATTGCCTCAAACACAATTAAAAATTGAACAATGAATAAGAAAGTCCATAGAAGAATTAAAGCATTTGCTATATGGTGTTAGAAAACAATATTGAAAGTACTATGGGCTGCCAGAAGAACAC